AGAAACTATTTTAAAGTTGAATGTGGAATGTATGGAGGAGGGGGGGGGGAATGAAGAAAGCGCAAGAATGATCGGCAGGAAGGGGAGGGCGTGAGTGAGGTATGTTAGTACAAAGAGGGATCCAAAATGAACATTTCCTAGGGAATTCGACAGAGCCGCCCTGTCCGCGCCCCCTTTACCGCTACTGAACCGCAGACAACCGGCCGGCGAGGAACCTGGGACATTGTCTGCCTCTCCCTGTATGTGTGTGCTGTGTGTCTCTGTGTCTGGTGGCTTGGCGGAGGTTATGCTGATTTCTGTCAGCAGGTTTTAGATTTTATGTTTCTTCCAGACTCTACTGGGTTTAGCCCACTGCTTCCATTTCACATTTTGGCACTGGATGCAGTGGTAACCCAGAGGTCAGATTGGGGTCACGGTTCCATCAAGGCCTCCTGCCTCGGGACAGGTAACGATAAGATGTGTGCATAGTGTATATTATGGGCTGCCTGTTAGGGACCACTGTTTCCATCTAACTGCACTACCAAGCTGTGAATAAGATTCTACATCCTGGGACTGGGTGCCTCATTCCAAATTGTCATATCTAAACTCTCCACAAGGTGGTGCCATTCTAGGATATCCTTTGCCCTTTTGGCTGCAATGAATCAGAATCAGAATCTTTTATTCGCCAAGTACAGAGAAGTACAAGGAATTTCTTTTGATGCAGGTGGTGTAAAGACTTACGGAAATTAAGCATACAACTAAAAAGCCAAAATGTGAAAAAACAAAGACAATAAATAGAAAAAGGGAAAAACTAGGTCTTTTTCAGGAATGAAAACAAACGAATGAATGAATGAATGAAATGTGCAAACAGTGGGTAGTTAGATTATGAGAGTTTCCCTATTCAGAAGGGTGATGGTATGGGGGGAAGAAGCTGCAAAATGGCGATCTGTCCTTGTGCTCAGGATTCTTATTCTCTGCTTTCACTGGAATAGAAGACACTGGAAAATGGAGTGGCCAGCATGCAGGGGTCAACAAACTATTATTATTATTATTGTTGTTGTTGTTAACATTAATAATCACAGGCAGCCCAAGTATGTAGGCCTACTGTGAAATTCTGTGAAGAACTTTTTTAAAAATATATATTTTTGACAAAGAATTCACACAGAGAGATGCATTAATTAGAAGTGAACTGATGTTAATTAAAATGATTGATCTCACTGTCCTTCCCATGTTCTATTTTTTTTATTTGTCTGTCTCTATGGATGCATCTGTTATAATACACACCTTATCCGCCCTGGGAAGGGAGCTGATGCTGTGTGCGGTTCTCGGTACGTAAGGAACAGGTTACATGAGGCTGGAAAAGAACACTGGCAGCTTGGAGCCAGAACCTTGACTTGCTGGAGAAGAGTCACGTGACAGGTATGGAAAGACACTAACTGGAAGATCTGTGCACTGCAGGAAGTCCAAATGTTCACATTTGGGAAAAAAAGCATAGAAACCAAAACAGCCACAGAATTTTTCATGTAAATTCAAATGTGTGACTCTGAAGTTATCTGGCATAAGAGTTTCAGGACTTTCCTGTTTTAAAATTTGAAGAACCATAGAAAAAGCATTTGTTTTACTTTTTTACTAGAAGGTTTATGTTCTTGTACTTTTGTATCCAAACTTAAAAGGTATTGGCGATCAGTCTTTTTAAATGCAATCAGAAAATTCCACGTTTTGGGGTGTTAAAAGCATTTAAACATTTTTCTAATTATTTCTTATTATTCCAGGTGTTGGTGTGAGGGGCCATTTTAGCGATTTTACTCCCCATTTCCCCAAAATCATTTTACTTTCCAAAGAGCAGATGTAGGACAAGACAAAGATAGATCTACATGGATCACCTAGCTCTTACATATTTATTCTTACTTTTCCCATGTATGTTTTGCAAGAAAAGTGCTATTTTTCCATGAATTATCTTCAAGCTGAATTTGTAAGATCTTTTTGGTTCCTTTGCAATGATGCTAATTCTGTCATGTGTTTACACTTCAGTCTCTCAAAGGATGTGTAGCATAGATTCAAGATGTTTTACCCACCATGTGCATAATTTGTGCTCTCCATTGTTGTACCTCACCATACAATATGGCGTCCACCATGTGTTTGTACTGTCGTTTGAGCTGCTCCCAGCAAAAACGTGGGGTAGGTGAGAGAAATAATAAAGTCACCTTAGTGATACTGTTGGACTTGATAAGTTGATACGTGAAAAAAATAACTTTGCGCCGGCATAATGAGGAGTAGTGATTCGTGGTCTGAGTGGGTTTCGCTTTGCACTCCTAATCACCCCTATCCTCTTTCACTCTTGTACTCCCTCCTCCTTTTTGTCTCACATTTTCCTGCTCTACCTAAGTCTCCCTTGATCATTCCCTAGTTTGTCTGGTCAGATGGATGTTTATTATAGACATTTCTTACATGGAAAAACACAAAGGAATTTTTCCCTATTTCGTCCAAGGAGGCGTAATTTCAGGAATGTCTCCCCATGGTGAGGAGACTGGATGAATGAGGGCTGACTGAAAGCAAAGCAAGGTTGTTTGTTGATGTTAGAAGGAAAGGAGGTTTACACTTGTATAGTACAAGTATAAGCCCCGCCTCCATCCTCAGCCATTCGGCAATCTCCTGTCTTCCCAATCAGTTTAACGTTTCTCCTATGGCAGACTTATTTTTTTTCCCTCCGACTTTTGGAGGTAGCTTAGGTCCCACTAGCGCCACAAAGCCACCATCTCTAAGACAAATATTGTATAAATTTATGCGGAGCAACAATGTGCACCATCAGCTGGAACGTCGGCCTAGTTTTTATTAGGAACATTTATTGTCCTAATGCATTCCATATGTGGGGGGGGTTAGTCAGCACACTGATGAGGAATCATCGGGCTTGGCACTGTTAAACCCCCTTATATCCTCTTTCATTAACATAGTCACCTGATTTACGGTGATACCTGACCTGTTTCCTAGAAAACTCCTCCCCACCACCCTATAGACCTCTCAGTCCACCATTATGAAAAAAAATAGTAAAAGAGTTTGTAGATCACATTAGATGTCCATAAAGGGCAATCAGTCTGTATTCCGATTAGAGAAATAGGGGAGGGTACGGACAGTGTGGGGTGGACATAGTGCCGTATAGATGGAGCTGAGATCGTATGAGAGACAGGAAGTGTTGGGTCCCACACAGGCAGCACCTTCTCTCTGTTCCATAAATCAGTTTACACGGAGTCTCTCTGGAGCCACACATTTTTATTTTATGGTCCTATGGCCACAGTCTACCTCCCTCTAATACTGTGAAACAACAAATGGGCCCCAATTTCAAGACGACAGATGTAACACTGAAGCTGGTGACTTAATTCTCACTGTGTCAGTGATTTATACTGCCAATAATTCACCGTAATCAAAATGCTAGCAGTTCATGCTGTCATTGTTTCACCATATTTAAAATCTCACAATGTCAGTCGGTTATCCTGTCAGTATTTTATCATGGTCAAAATCTCACAGTGTCAGTAGGTTATTCTGAAAGTGCTTTACCGTGGTCAAAATCTCACAATGTCAGTAAGTTATTCAGTCAGTATTTTATCATGGTCAAAATCTCAGAGCATCAGTAGGTTATTCTGTCAGTGCTTTACCATGGTCAAAATCTCACAGCGTCGGTAGGTTATTCTGTCAGTGCTTTACCATGGTCAAAATCTCACAGCGTCGGTAGGTTATTCTGACAGTGTTTTACCGTGGACAAAATCTTGTTGATCCCCCCCCCCCTCCCCCCCAAATATCAATTATTCCAAAAGTAACAACATACATGTGTGCACAGAAATATGAATGTGTGCACCGACATATATATATACTTCAAGTCATGTACTGACATGCACACATTCAGCTTCCAATACTGCTGTCAGACATTCTCTCGCACACTTATACACACATGGCTTTGTTCATTGCGCAACGCTCCCTGGAGTTAGTGCGCTGATGTCATGGCTCTTGATTGAGTCTCTTTATTGAAAGCAGAGTGCTTTCTTTCTCTGGCTAATAGCGCACGCTCACATAGCCCCCAATGCTTGCGCACCATGTGTTTATGTGTTTATTTGCATGGCAGGTCATTTGCTGTGACGGTGAGTGCAGCCGCAGGATTTACTTGCTCTCTGACATCTCCTCAAATGACTCTGGCTACTGATGCGATGGTGCAGACCTCAATGTGTGTATATGTCTCTCTCTCTGTTGTAGAACTGGTCCCTCCTCTCCCTCCTTCCTGACTGGAGTAACCCCCCGCCCGTGTGTAGAGTACAGCATGACTGGAACAGAATGAGGCTTGAAGCCAAACGCTCAGATATGCATGGTTTTCTTCTATTGTGCTTCGTTCTTCATTGTTTTCCCTATATAAACCCTAACCTCGTCCATCAGTCTCTGACAATCATCCCCCTGAATCAAGACCCGTCCCCGTTCCTCAGTCTCATTTGTCTCAGTCCTTCTGTATCAGTCTCCCTCTCTTCCGTCTCACTCGTCTCGCTGTATAAACACAGTTCCTTCTGTCAGTCTCCCCCTTTCTGTTTCTTCTTTGGCACCTGGCCTTCTGTTTTTCCAGACTTTAAAGCTAATACTTCTAATAAAACACTGGTCTTTACCACAACAGAATACTCGGGCTTAATACTGAATAAACAGTTTCTTTTCCCCCTCTTTCAGTCTCGCAATTTTTTTGCTCCTGCTCTGTGATTTTTTTTTTTTTTTGAGTTTTGGCCTGGACAGAAATATGTGCACTTGTTATGTGTTTTCCATGGGTTCAGCATCTCTGGAACAGATTAGCCCCT